GAGAAAAAAACTGGGCCAAAAATAGCTATAAAAGATGAGTGAGTTAAAGAGATTATTACAGAACTGATTATGGAAAGAGACTTAAAATACCAGGGTTAGCCAAGAGAAAATAAGATTTCAAAAAGTTCTAGATATAAGAAGTCAAAAATAGGTGCATGGTCTAATGTAAAAAAAGAAAACCAGCCCCTGAAATCTGTGTAATTTTATTACCCAATACCATCCCAATAAATTCAATTTAAAAAGAAAAAGAAAAAAGAAAGTCAGCATCTTGCTATTGTTAAAAATAAAGATAGAACCAGGATCTTTTTCATAGGGCCCACTACACTGTAACATGATGGTTCAGTTATGATTTCCCTAAAATTTTAAATGTGTTACAACACAGGCCATATAACTAAGGGTCATTTCATCCTGTATTTAAAGTCAGCACAGAAAAAGCAAAAAGTGGTCCAATTTTGATGTATACTAAGATTTCATTATGTGGTACGTATTATTTGCTAACTAAGTCTAAGTTCTAATACAGTAATATCTGAAAAGACCTCTGTAAAAATAATTAAAAAAAATAATTTAGTAATCTTATGAATAAACCAATATACCTTAGCAAGTGATTTTACGATTGGATTCTCCATAATCCCCTTGAGGAAAATTAGGTCTATCTCTTCTGCTCCCGTAGATGAGGGCAGCTCCGTAAGGTTATCCAACACTTGCTGCATTTCTGCTGAGATAAAAACAACGTATTAAAATAAAACCTTTGGTGAGCACACATTGCAATGTGAAGATGATGTATTACAGAACTGTACACTTGAAACATGTTATTAACCAATGTCACCTCAATAAATTTTAAAAAGCCTTAAATCCCAAGTCATTATGAAATACGATTATAAAATAATTCAAATAAAAGGGCATTAACAATGAACACTCTTTTGAAAAGTCACATTTAAAAAAATTGAATTGCTAAATATGTTTCAAATTGACTTCCCATGAATTAGTAGCAGGACAGGTTTTTATATGTAATTTGGGCTTTATCAGGCTACCTTATACATGCTTATAATCTTAACTTATTTTATAACTTAAAGTTAAAAAACATTACTTAGGAAGAAATAAGATATTTTAATAAATAAATTTTAAAAATATAGTAATTAGTAATCAAGAAACTTCCGATAGCCCTAGCTGGGTTTGCTCAGTGGTTAGAGGATCTCGGGTTCAAATCTGGTCAAGGACACGTGCAGGAGGCAACCAATCATTGTGTCTCTCTCACACTGATGTTTCTCTCTCTGTCTCTCTCCCTCCCTTCCACTTTATCTAAGTCAATGGAAAAATTTCCCTGGGTAAGGATTAACATAAAAAAAGAAACTTTCCAAAAGCCCAGAATCAGATGGCTTCACTGGTGAATTCTACCAAATATTAAAGAATTAAAACCAATTCTTCACAAACTCCCCCAAAAAAGGAGAGGAGGAAATACTTCCCAACTATTCTATGAGATACCAAATCCAGACAAAGACATCACAAGAAAATGACAGTCAATATTCTCTGTAAATGAAGATGTAAAAATCTTTAATATAAAACTAGCAAATTGGATCCAACAACACTGAAAAGGATTTTATACAATGACAAGTACAATTTATCCCAGGAATGAAAGGGTGGTTCATCAACATATGAAAATCTATCAATGTAATACACTGTATTAATAGGACAAAAACAAAAAAACCACACGATATCTCCCTCAATAGACAAAAGAAAAAACATTCGACATAATCCAATATTCTTTCATGATTAAAAAACATTAACAAATAGAAGGGAAATTTCCCCAACTTGATAAAGGAGATCTATGAAAATTTCCATAGCTTACATGATACTTAATGGTGAAAGACTGAACAAGATAAGGAAGTCTACTCTTTCTTGACACTTCTACTCAACACTGTACTGGAGGGTCTAGCTGGAGCAGTTAGGCAAGAAAAGGAAATAAAAGTCATTAAGATTGGAAAGGAATAAGTAAAACTATCTTTTTTTGACATGATCTTATATTCTATATAATAAAGAGCTAATATGCTAACTATACTGCAAGGCAGAACAACATTCCAGGACGACCTCTGGATTTACCAGTGGGCGCAGCCGTGAGGCAGCTGGGGCTGCGAGGGCCGAGCCCCTTGCACAAATTTCGTGCATCGGGCCTCTAGTATATACATAAAATCTTAAGAAACATACAAATAAATTTATTAGAATAAATGAGTTCAGCAAGGTTACAGGATACAAGATCAAAATACAAAAATCAATTGTGTTTCTATACACTAGCATTGAAAATGAAATTAAGAAAATCATTCCTTTTACAACAGCATCAAAAATAAAACAATTATTAATAATGTAATAAAAGAAGTGCAAGATTTGTATACTGAAACTATAAAATGTCATTGAAAGAATTAAAGATGACAAACAATAGAAAGATATCCCATATTCACAAACTGTTAAAATGGCAATATACACAAAGTGATCTACAGATTTAATGTAATCACTATCAAAATCTCAGATGCCTGTTTGTTCGTTTTTGCAGAAATTGATAATTGATCCTAAAACTCATATGAGAAATTCAGGGGACACAGAATAGCCAAACAATCTTCAAAAAGAACAAAGCTGGGAGAGCCATACTTAATTTTAAATCTGATTAAGAGCTACAATACTCAAGAAAGGCACAAAGATAGACATATAACCAAGTGAGAATCCATAAATTCATAGTCAATTGATTTTCAACAAGGGTGACAAGACAATTCAATGAAGGAAAGAATCATCTTTCCAACAAATGGTATCGGCAAAACTGAATACACACATGTAAGAGAGTGAAGCTAGGACCCCCCCCACCCCCACCCCACCCTCACCATACTTCATTCAGTATCAGTCTTCATTTTATACAATTTTACTAATTTTATCTCTTCATAATTCTTTAGAATAAGTCTACTAATATTGTAGTTGTCTTATTGTAATATTTTCTACTTTTATTAAAATAAAACATAAACATTAAAAATCAAATTGTATTACTAAGTGGCTTATCCTATCCTATATAATAAAAGGGTAATATGCAAATTGACCTTAAAGGCAGAATGACCGGGAACGACCGGTCACTATGATGTGCACTGACCATCAGGGGGCAGATGGTCAACGCAGGAGCTGCCCCCTGGTGGCCAGTGAGCTCCCACAGGGGAGCTCTGCTCAGCCACAGCTGGGCTGATGGCTGCGAATGCAGAAGAGGTGGCGGGAGCCTCTCCACCTTCTTAGCAGCGCTAAGGATGTCCGACTGCAGCTTAGGCCCGATCCCCTGGGGTGTGGGCCTAAACTGGCAGGTAGACATCCCCTGAGGGGTCCCAGACTGCGAGAGGGCATAGGCTGGGCTGAAGAGCCCCCCCACCCCCAAGTGCACAAATTTTTGTGCACCGGGCCTCTAGTAATGAAATATAGCAATTCTCTGTTCCATACTATCTGCCCCTCTCCAACTTATCCCACCTCTCCAAAAGTAACTACTTTGATTTTAAGTTTCTTTTAATCACATCTATGTTTCTGGATAAATGCTCACATTGCTACTTTTTACCCACTTAGACATTATCCATTTATTTTCTGTTAGAATACTAGACCTGCCCACACAGCCATGTTTCTGGCCAAGTCTGGTTTGGTTTTTCCCCAGGAGGAAATGGCCAAGGAGCTCCAGGAAAGCTGAGTGTGCGGTACAGGGCAACAGTGCCACACTGATTTTTAAAACATGTACTACCTGACTACTCAGTCAGGGGCAGTGACCTCTTTTCACGTAGATTGTCAAATAAAGAAACAACAGCCAACATAACAATAGCCATCGGTGTGAATGAATTAAAATTATACTTTTTTTTTGGTCAGATTGGCGCTGCAGAATTTTAGTAATTAGTTTATGTGCTATCAGATGAACAAGGTTGAAAATTGCTGCTGTAAACCCATGAATTTCTGCACGGGGTGGGTAGCCCTGGCAACTGGCAGCAACTGGCTGTTCAGGGTGAATGAGATGCTGGGGAAGGTCGACAGCAGCCAGGTGTTTGTACGGCTGTTTATTTTTGTGAAGAAGCAAATCATGTACTTTTCCATGAAATCGTGAAGACAACCTCATGTCTCTGTGGGACGCATGCCCCCAAAGACACTCAACTATTTAGGCCTCAGTGTATCAAGTAGCAACCCCAGCCCCATGCGGAGGACGATGCAGGACTGCTACAGCTGGACAACCCGGAAACCAGCATACTATCTGCCCCTCTCCAAGTTATTCCTCCGTACAGGAGGAAAGCTCCGGATGCCATCCCTGCCGGGTCCCATTCCTAATGAGCAAGAACTTCTGCCCCTACCTGCTAGGTCTCTGAAACACCAGTATCCCTTGTGAGGGTGTGCCTCCTTGACACCCTGTTGGAATGCCCTCTATGGGACACGGGTCTGCAAACAGAGAGAGCCTGCGCGATCAGCTGGCACTGCTGTGAGCCACCCTGGCCAAAGCACAAAGTGAAAGCTCTCAGCAACAATACCCGTCAGCAGCCAAAGACCTAGCCCAACCTTCTGAAGTCTCCCCAACAGTCAGAAGAGTAAACTTGCAGCACTTCAGCACTTGCGCGAGTTGCAGAGCTTCGAGGACAGCTGTCACACACCGGGGAGTGCTCCATGAGGGAGCTGGAGGACTCTCGCTGAAGATGGAGCCAAGCAGACTGCACTGTGCTTGCAGGCATTCCCCAGAGCATCCGGCTCAGCAGGTGCAGACAGGACCAGCCAAACCCCACTGAGTCCAAAGCTCAGATGATCCATCCCAGCCCTTTCTTACGGGCAGTTTCAGAACATCTGCTGAAACTTTATTTTCCCCTGGTGCACTTTTTTTCTGAAGTTGCAGTCAGATACTATTCTTAATGCTTCTGTCCATGCTTCTTTAAAAGTCCTCATTTGGTTCTTATCACAGTTCACTTCCCCTGCTCCAAGCTATTCAATCCCAAAGGTGAAAGTTGGGGTGAGGGGACTTTGTGTCTTCCGTACTCCCCTTTGTACATGGGTAAATGGGACCTATTTGGGGCATCTCAGGGTTGACTGGTGGGACAGGCAGACAGAAATTGGTGGGGAGGTTAGGGGAGGTGGTGGGGAGGTGCAGAACAAGTTACTGGGGCTCCGGTTAAACCAGGATGTCAAAACATTAACACGACTTCCCTGCCATGCAAGGGTCTGCCCTAACACTTTTGTTCTATACTCTGTTGTGAATAAATGTGCTGACACCTGGCATAACCCCATGCCCCCTCTTTTACTGAGGTGAGATGTAACAGTATAGAGGAATGGTTTTCCCTAACAAGCCAATTTACTGGTCTGACTTTATAGATTAGTTGTCTAATAACATGAATTATTAAAAAACACAATTAAACTAAATTATCCTAAACACATATGACAAAATAATGAGGAAATATATAAGATATGAGAGATAATTAACCTTATAAATTATTAAAACATTAACTGAATCTATAATTACTCAGACATGGATAACTACAAGGCGACTCTAGAGTATGTAAAAGCTTAATATATGAGTTAGAAGTTCTCTGTAGTGGGAACCTTGCAAAACTGGGTGGGAGCCAGAGAAACAGGGAAGTGTCCCAGTGTACTCAGAGATTCCAGGAAGAAAAGTCCCAAAGCTTACAAGGTCAGATTTTTGCAAGTTCCTCTCCTCCTGCATAATCACTAGCGCAG